AATTTTGAGACAGGGTCTCATTAATCACTGGGTTACCCAGGCTGGACTTGAATTTACTCCATTAGGTAGAAAACTGATCACCAGCAGATGTGGAATTCAGCACTGGGCCTGTTTGCGATCTTCTCTTTGTACCTTGATTGGAGCCGGCCCAGTCCCGAGGCCTGTTCTGAGGACCAACACATCTGTAAGTTTTTACTTTGTCTCGCCCTGGAGCCGGGATTTTTCACCAGCAAGATTGTTCTTTTTCTAAGCAAATCGGTTGTGTTAGTTTGGGAATGTCAGTATGGGTTTCCTCCAGTTTTGAGTTTTGTTTTGTGCATTAGCTTCTACTTTGGTAGAGCTAGTGAAAATCTTCAGGTCTCTAACCTGATTTGCACCAGATGTTGCTGTGTTCCTGGATGGCTCTGTATCCCTCTTAGCTTTGGGTTTCTTCCTTCCTGCGTCCCAATCCAAACTCATTTCCAAGTTTAGTTTCTCTTCCCTGGCCTAACTTCATCAGCTCTTTGGGGGCATTATGGAATGCTTGTATGTGGTCAAGGGCAAAAGAGCAGATGGTTGCTTCCTGGAGGTATGGGCTTTGAAGTTTTCCAGGAAGTGGTTGGTAATCAGAATGACAGCTGGACAGTTGGAGGAGGCGAGTCTTAGCTAAGCAGGGCCAGCCCCATCTCCTGGACTGTCAGGCCATGTATCAAAGGTCCTTTCCCCTGTGGGAATTGATTCACAGGGCTTGCACTGGGACCAGGTCCCTTCCTGTTCAGTGCCAACTGCCTGTCTGTTCCCTTCCCTGTGTGTGGCTCCTTCCCCTCTTCCCCATCAAAATGCAATTGAGAGGTCGAGGCACATTGACCCCCCCAGGGCCTTATCCCAATCGTGGGTCCAAGAGCACCCAACATTGCCAGACCATGTGGCTCTGGGACCGGGATCCTGATCTGGTCCCTACAGAATTAATAGCTCCCCTTGAACTGCAAGGCTAGGGTCTCCAGAAACAGGAGTACTTTGGGTTGGCGGAAGGACACCAGGAGGGGGCAGCAGTTCAAGCGTCTTCCAAGGGGTGTCCCAGAAGATGCTCCGCAGGAGGAAAAGAATCCTCACCTCTGTGTGTCTGCTTGCGTTTAGCAGACCTTATCCTGCTGGATGTCCAGGGCAGAGCAGATGATTATTTTCTACTGGCTGTGTGGTAGGGGACAGGAGCTGTTTCTGAGCAGCCAGGGACAAGGCCAGGGGAAGAATCAGCTGCCAGCATCATCCCCTGACTCACGCATCCAAGCGCCTTGTGCCCCACCACCTGCCTCTCCCTTGTCATGCTGAGTAGTGGTCTCGGAGCACACGCATGTGTTAGAACAGTTGTAGGAAGCTACTACACATGGGGACAGATGATTTCAAAAGACACTGGAGCTGAGGACCTTTACACCGAACTCTGTGCCCAGCGTCTTTTGTTTTTTAATTAGAGACAAGGTCTCACTAAGTCGCTTAGGCTCGACCTGAGCTGGTGATCCTCCTGTATTAACCTCCCAGAATGCTGGGATTACAGTTCTGTACCACCATGGCTGCTCATCCCCAGCACACCCACCCACCGCCATTTTTGAGATAAGGCTTGCTAAATTGCCCATGTTAGCCTCAAAGTTGGGATCCTCCTGCCTCAGCCTTTCAGAATGCTGAGATTACAGGCCTGTGCCACCACGTTTGACTCATGACCAGCTCTTTTCTTTTGTTTAAAACTGTGCTTGCTAAATTGCTGGCCTTGAACTTGAGATCCTCCTGCCCTAGCCAGGTGTGCACCAGCACCCTGGGCTCTGTTATGTCATTCCTTAACTATCTGATTCATACCTGGCTTCCTGGCGACTGCTTGTCTGTAAATGTAGGAGGATTCTGTTCTAGTGTCTAAACCACCCCATCCCAGGCTATGAATTCTGGGTAGTAATAATGTCTTAAATTTCACCCCCTGTAAATATTTGCTGGAAGAGAGCCCAGCCTAGCCACTTCCCCATGAGTTAGTGAAGCTCTGGCTGCCTGGGGGCCAGCATGCGTGTGCAGTGGCTGCTACGGGACTGAGGGAACCTGTGTGGTTAACGAGGCACCTGCAGCTGTCAGAGTCACCAGGCAGCTGGCAGGCCTGTTCCCAAGGGTGCTGTGCCAGAGGCGAACTGCTGCCCAACCCAGGCGGGGGCCCAGTCCCATCTCCTCCCTCCACGTGGGGTGCCAGCTGTTTCTGCCATCTTTCCATGACAGACAGCCCCAGCACTTCAGGCACCTCAAAACTCTCCTGAAGCCAGCCTCAGCTGCAGCTCCCGGATCTCTCCCCTGAGAACTGTGGAAGCTGGGAGACCGTGGTCCTCAAAGGGGTCCTGATTTGCTAAGTTGTAGACTAATGGGAAAGAACGACTCTCTGCGGAGGGCTTTTTGTTTTACGAGCGCATTCTTTTGTTGGGGATGAGCCAAGTAGTTCTTCCTTTTCCAACTATACAGAACCCCGTTTTGCAAAAGTCTGCCCTAAACTAGAGGTCACCGATGTATTGAAACAGCACAGGGTTCACGAGGTGAGGTGCCCCAACCTTGCATCTCTGCTTTCTGCCCTTCGAAATCATTGATCGTGAACTCATTTTATCTATGCTCAAGCTGAGGCACAGTCTGGATTTTGGCTTCCTTCCATCTCTGTGTTGTTTATGCCAACTGCCAAGCTGGCACTGCTGTCCTCTCTATCAACAAAAGCAAGGCGTTAGGAACTTCACTGAGCGCGGCGTGCTGGTGAGCCCAGCGCTCGAGGCACTGCGCGGAGGTTTATATTGTTGAGGATGCACCTTTGGCTGCTTTTCTCTGTCCCCCCTCCTCTCTCAGGATTTGTCACACTTGTCACGGGTGCACTATGCTGCGTTCAGTTAACTCGGAGTCCTTACTAGAGATCAGACAGTCAGCTTTCTGTCAATGCTACAGGTTTCTTTCATTGTTAACACATTAGTGCCTCTGTCACTCTCCTGGGAGTGTTAAAGATGGTGCTCCAAGGGTCTCTGTCCCTTGACACAGTACTGTGAAGTCATCTGTCCCTGCACTCTGAGTTCTAGGGTCATGAGTCTGTGGATCCAGGCTGTGAATCTGAGGCTGTCGCCATCAGACGTCTTAGGCTCAGGGCCGGGGAACCGGATGTTCTCTTTCATGCCTTGAGGCCCGTTGCATGCCTCTGGCAACTGCCCATTCCTGCTTCCGTGTACAAAGTGCCACCCTGTGCTGCTCCTGGAGGCCAGCTTTTTGCTCATGGTCTCATTTAAAAAAATAATTCTTAAGACTTTAATCACGGCCGCCCCTACCACTCTGCTAACCAAGGAGGTCATATTTCCCAAAGACTTTGCTCTGTGTGTTTGTGGGTTTGGTATTAGGGATCGGATCAAACCCAGGGCCGTTGTACTCCTAGCCCTTTCAATTTATTATTAAGTTGTGAAGTTGTCCAGGCTGGGACCCAAGCTCACGATCCTCCTGGCTCAGCCTCCCAGAAGACTTTGAGTTAGCAGCAGTGACATAGATGGCACGTGTGACCCAGCCTTCCATGTGCCCGGTTTCCTCCCTGCCATGCCACTTCCCAGCCTGGGAGGTCTGCAACCCAGACGCGCCCCTGCCACCCAGAAGTCATGATTTGTACTAGGGTACACACACAAGAGCTGGGTTTGCAGGTTTGGACAAATACAAGACGTGCGTCCCCCAGTGTAGTCGCACACAGAATGACTTCACTTTGTACATCCGCTTTGCCTGTCCATCTGTCCCTCTCTTCTAACTCTTGGGAACCACTGAACTTTTTTTTTCCCCCAGTACTGAGGGTTGAACCAGGGAGCACCGAACTACATCTCTAGCCATTAATAGAAGTGTTTTATAAAATTTAAGATAGGTTGGCCTTGAACTTGCAATCCCCTGCCTCAGCCTCCCTCATAGCTGGGGATTGTAGGTGTGTACCGCCATACCCAGACCACTGTTTTTCTGACTGTCTCTTATCATTTCGTTTCATCTTCCAGAATGTCTCATGAAAGTTGAGTCTCCTTTATCAGAAATGCTTAGGACCAGAGTATTTTGGACTTCAGATTTGGAATTTTGGAATAGTTATATATATATATGTAAGATGTCTTTGGAACAGGTTCCACGTCTAATACAAAATATATTTATTTATTTATTTCTTTTTTTTAGTACTGGGAATCGAACTCAAGACTTGTGCTTGCCAGACAGGTGCTTAAGCTGCTGAGCTATCTCCCCCACCCGTGTATTTCTGTTTCATGTTCGTCCCTTATAGTCAATGTCCGGGGCGCTTTCACACACTGTGGCACACCTGTATTTCCACGTGTCCATCATATAAAGTCAGGTGTGGACTTTTCCACCAGTGGGGTTGTGTTGGCCCTCAGGAAGTCTTGGATGTGGGGCATTTTGGATTTTAGACTCGGGGTGGCTTGAGGTGTACTTGGAATCACACTGCAGGTAGCCCTTCCTGCTGGGCTGCTTGGCAGTACCCACTTAACTTTCCTCCATGTATTTCCATGGTGTGACAGCATGGTTTTTTCTGTGCTGAGTGATACTGCATTGTCTGGACGGACCAGAGCTTACTTACCCATTCACGTGTTGCAGGTCAGACGCTGTGGAGCCCTCCAAGTGTGGCAGTCGGCAGTGAGTCTGCAATAAACATCCACATGCAGATTTCTGTTTTGGTGATTTTTCTTTTTAGGATAGTTTGAGGTTAACAGAAAAATGTGCAGAAAACACAAGAGAAACACACACATACACACAAACACATACACACACACATACACACATACCCCCCCACACTCCCCCACACCCGCTGCCAGCCATGTTCCATCATTTTTGGAAGTAAAGTAGGTACAAGTGTACATTTCAGTGTCACTCAGGGTTTCACAGTGCTGTAGAGCTGTCACTGTGACCACCTGTACCACCTTTCGTCCCCTCGATTGTTTCCTTCTCCTAGGCTGAGCCTAAGCTCCTCCCCCTGCTGGGGTCCCTTCCTGACTGCTTTAGAGGGAAGCTCCCTGCTGTCCGCTCACCAACCCCCCCAACCCCCGGCCCCACCCCACTATCCTCCCTCCTGACAGGACCCTCTAGGCTGGTGGCCTGGCCCCTTCCACCCTGCACCCCTACCCAGAACAAGCACGCCTGTCTCCTTGGAGACCTGACTCCCCCCTGCAGGGCTCCCCATAGGATCTCTGGCTCCTCTTTTACACGTGATAGGAGGGTCTGGATGCCCCTGGTTTTCTGCTCTGTGTACCCCTGGCAGCTTCCAGTACAGTTGGGATGAGTAAGAGGCAGGTGCAGAAGGTGCCTGTGGTGTCTTGCAGGTTGGTGTGCAATGCCAGGCTTATATGAGGTGGACTTTGGATGTGTTTGAGATGGGATTCTTTGCCTTTAGGTGACAGTTCTCCACAACTCCCACTCTCCCTGATGGGCCTGCTGTCCTCTCCTGCCTGTCTCCAACGCCCCCTTCTTCATGTCCCCCCAAAGCTGCTGCCCTCAAGACCCCTGCCCTGCAGAACCCCTTCAGCATTAGGAGCCACCTGATCTGAGCTCCCTTCCCAAGAGTTCTCTGCCAGGTGGCTCAGGGGTCCTCCTGGAGAGCTGGGTGCTGCCCTCTCTGTTCCTGTCCTGCAGCTGTGTGGGAGACCTGTGACCCTGGGAGCTAGCCTTCACCTTCCCCCTGGGTCTTAGGGACGCATTGAAGTATAGAAACGTGTCTGGGTGAGGAAACCAGCAGGATTTGGGGTGCACACTGCTCTGTGTGGGCGCCCTCATGCAACCCTCTCGGAATGCCAGGTGCTGCTTAGGGACCCAAGTTTACTGACTTTAGACACATGAGCCTTGGCTGGGGAAGTTTCAGAATTCTGGAGCCACCTCCAACTCCATTATAGTCAGTGTCTGAGGCTAGGAGGGTACAAGACACCCCAGCTTGGGATGTGTCCTTGTTTGTACAGAAGGTTCCGTGAGCAGCTGGTTGCAGGGGAGTACAGAGAAGAGGCTGGTAACAGTTGGGAAGGTCTGTGTGGTATGTGGTGTATGTGGCATGTGGGTGTATGGTGTGTGCATGCTTGTGTGGTACATGATGTGACATCTGTGTGGTATGTGGCATCGGAGCATGATGTGTATGTGGTGAGTGCATGTTCGTCGTGTACTATGTGTGCATGTGTGTGGTGTGCATGTGGCATGTGCATGTATATACTATGTGTATGCTGTGTGTGGTGTACCATGCAGGCAGCTAAAAGTAGAGCTGGGGCAGCTGGGATGCTCCTGTATCTTCTGACCTTGTATGGGGTGGGGAACCCAGCTGGAGGACCCCAAGACACTGTCACTGTCATCAGGATACTGTGCATGTGAAGCCGGAATACAGTTCCCGCAGCTAGGAGACCGCGCCTGTGTCCTGAAGCTGTTCTGCCCAGAGATGGTGGCGGGGTAGTGGCCACTGCACAGGGGGACACTGTGCTGATGGGCCATGCTGGGCCCCAGCCTGGTGGGAACATGTGGGTGGGCCTTGTTCGTGGGGTATCCACACAGTCCTGTGTCTTGCACATGACAGGCTTGAGGGTGGAGCTGATGCAGGGACCGGGGTCCCACGCTGCCAGGTGTACTTGAGAGTTTTTGGAAGCTGCTCCAGCTTTGGGAGGCTGTGGGGTGTAACCCAAGCTACCCACCGTGCGGGGGGGCACTGGCTTCAAGGAGCCTGAGGACTGGCTGCCGACTCAGGGAGATTGAAGAATGAGGGGTTGAAACCAACCCCTGTGGCGTGGTTTCTCCATGGTGTCCTCCATGGGGTGGGGGCAATGGCCTGAGGGAGCATTAGCTCCCCCACACCGTCCTGCATCTGGCCGAGCTGTACCTGCTGTCCTTTGGAGCACACTGCTGGTGTGAGGACCAGTATCAGACATGTGAATGCAGGCTCGTGTGTCCTGCAGGCGGTGAGGGAAGCGGAGAGGTTGAGATAGCTCAGCAGACGGAGTGCCTGCTTAGGCAAGCGCAGGGACCAGGGTTTGATCCCTGGCACCACACGCAGCACCAGCCCCTCCCCAGGCACGCTGAGCCAGCCACCAAGACTGGGCGTGGTGGCACACACCTGTAATCCCAGCACTGGGGAGGCTGAAAACAGGAGAATCAGTACAAGTCCAAGCTGTATAGTCAGACCCTGTACCAAATACATTAAAACAAACAAACATACTCATCCATTGAGTTGGTTGATATTTTAGTTGACATCCAAGACCTTTTCAGGTAAATGCACACTTTGAATTGGGCTTTGCGAAATCTCAAAAGTACTTCATTGGAAATTAAAGCCATAAGTAC